ATTCAATCAAGATGTATTGAGCACACACTATGTGCAAGGCTCACCGACATAGTGATGCCAACATCAGCTACATTGTATTGAGTACTTACTCCGCTTCAGGAACTTGCTAAGAGTGTCATTACCTTAGATACTTTGATTCTTACAACATGAGGAGAGAAGGGTGTTACTCAAGATGTTTCACAAGTAGCATAGTTCTGCCAGTAGTACATTGCCAGTATGGGGAGCTCAAAGGGCCTGTTTCACAGAAGAGAAAATTAAGGATTTGAGATATTAAAGGAGCTCATCTTTGCTAGCAAGTGGCCAAACTTTTAGGACTGTTTCATGAGACTGTAATTCATGGGCTACCATTGAGAATCAAGGTAAGTCCTTCCCGTTGCTGTGGCTGTCAGTTCTAATTCTCTTGCTTGGGGTTCTGTTGTATAGTATGTGAATATAGTTTTCACAAGTCAGTGCATCCAGAAAGCTTTCTTTCAGATGTTCCAAGCCACTGGTTTCTCAGTCAGAAATATTTATTGCCTCCTCTTTTCATTGCCATTAAAAGCTCAGGCTCAGAATGCTTTCTAACACCTGTTAATATTAATACAATTTCCGTAGTAGCATTGAGGAATGCCAGTTCTGGGCAGTGGGGGTCCCTAGGCTCACACCAGCAATGCTCTCGTCTTCCTGCAGAGGTTCTGCTAGTGCCTCAAGAATGTTCCCAGAGTTCTGCCCATTCTTCTTCTGCTCAGATTTTTTGTCTGAAAGTATTTTTTCCAGGCCAGAGCTGGACTCTGTATAGAGGACAGAGGAAGGGCCAAGGTATGACTTTATTCCCACCACTTATATCTGAGAGCACAAGCCCAGAGGGCACTTGTCACAAATCTGAGTGTGCCCAAGCCACATTCATGAACAGTAAATAGGCTTCATATTGCCTCACATTCACATTCCCATCCCAAGTATGAGGCTGGCTTTGTTCACTGCAAATGAAAATGGCTTATTTATAGGGAGGAAGATGGGAGTGGAAGGGCAGATTTTAGGGGGTTGGAAATCATATTAATAAATAAGCTGAGAAGTATTTGACTTGGGTAAATGCTCAGGTAGAATTTGGACATTGAGAATCATGCATTCATCTGTGTGTAAGAAATAAGAGTCAAGAATAATATTATAGCTTAATCCCCCAAAATATGATCCACAGAGCATCCTTTGTATTTCAGAATGCAACAGGAGTGTGTGCGTATGCTCTCGGATTCCGACGAGTGACTTTGAGCCCTGGGATCTGTTGCCTTGTTAACTTTTGCAGCCTATTAAACCACAGTCTAGTAATAAGAGAAACAGTCCTTTGCCTGGTCCGAAGATGCCAATGTGAATCGTTTGTCGTCCTTGAAATGTGATGTGACCCTCACAGTCACCACGTTTCTGAAGCCATCAGAAAAATCAAATCATATTTAAGAGTTAAAATATCTCACGTATCATACATTTTTGAAAGTCCGAGAACAAGAGTATATGGAAGAAGAAGATGAAGCAATCCACTAATCACCATTTTAATCTCACTGTCAAGTCAGCTTTATATATATTTTGCCTACATCGTTTCTTAGCAGTAGCTTCTCCTTGTAAATGTGCTGATTGCCTCTTAATTAAGCGATCTTATTTATAACATTAAAGAAACTCAGTAGAGACAAAAATGAGAATCACATCTTAAGCAATTAAACATAAGGTCAAAAATAAAGGCTTATTGTAAGGCAGCATTAACATCATCCAAGTGTCTCTTGCTTACAGTGTGTTGTGACAAAGTAAAATCTATTTCAGCTGTTATACGGCAATAGCTGTTATTTATGAAACATAAAAAGATACTGAAATACAAAAGGGCTTGGAAAGACCAGGGTAAGATCAGATAAAAAAATGAGAAAGAAACGGGCATCCTGGGATGGTAACGACGCTGCCATGTACTGACAGGAAGGTTGTATATTTTTAGAATATACTGAAAGGAATGGTGCTTTTACTTAGGTTTTTATGGTTTACCACGAGATGCAATTTTCTGGCCTTATATGCAGTTGTAACAAAAGTCAGAGACGTTTTATGATAGCTGCCACAGTTCATAAATGATGGGATACACTAAAATATTTATAGAACTGTAAAATCTTGATTTCTCTCTGGTTTAGCAGATGGGGCCTTAAAACCAGTTCCCAGATTGTCACATTTCTTCAACCTTTGATGACAAAAAAGCCTGTTGTCAGTTTTCATCTCCAGAGAACAAGTTCACTACTGTGAACAAGGTCACACTCTCACTCAATTTTCTATGTTTGAATAATGCCAATTAAGAGAGATCTGAACAGAAGTTATAATTACTCCGGACGTACTTCTTGGCATGAGACTCCAGGTTAGTGCAGATAAGATATCCTCTGATGTACTTTTTACTCATTCCTTCATCTTCATTTCTGGGAAAATTCACTTCTAAACCTGTACCACCCACAGAAATAAGTATCACATCAATGTTAAGACTAGCCTATTCAGGTGGCTGAGGGAATTTCTGCTGTCATATGGGGTGTGTGTGTGTGTGTGTGTGTGTGTGTATGTGTGTATTTTAAAATGTACTCTAAGATAAAATTGTTTTTCTGTTAAGGTCACCAAACTCAAGCATTCTTTACAATTAATTTAAGTATTATTATTATTATATTTAGATCTGGACTCTTGCTCTGTGATCCAGGCTGGAGTGCAGTGGTGCCATCGTAGCTCACTGCAGCCTCAAATTCCTGGGCTCAAGTGATCCTCCTGCCTCAGCCTCCTAAGTAGCTAAGACTACAGGCATGCACCACTGTGCCCAGTTAGAGTATTTACAATTAAAAGGAATGACTGTAAGTTGGATGGTGATGGAGGTAAGAAATCCACATTGATGGACTGATAATGGTATTTTTCTGATTTTAGAAATTCAATCAACAAAAGAAACACACATACTTGTAAAAATAGGTGTATATGGTAGTTATTTAGGAAGCGCCATAGAAAAGGCAATCTGAGTAAAATTTTAAGCCAATAGATGACAGAGATAAGTAGGTAAATAGATAATCAACTGATTGATAGACTAAAGACATATTTGCTTACATGTAGTTTGTAGACAGAGTTTGCAAATTTTCTATTTTTTCTTGAGGAATGCTACTAAAATTAAGTAGATAAAATATTTAATTAAAATCTCTACACTGATGGTGATCCTTTTGTTTATAGCAAAAAATGATCTCTCCAAATGCTTCCATTTTTCTTTTTTTTTTTTTTTTTAAATTTATTTATTATTATTAAACTTCAAGTTGTAGGGTACATGTGCACAACGTGCAGGTTTGCTACATATGTATACTTGTGCCATGTTGGTGTGCTGCACCCCCATTTTTCATTATATACTTTAAGAAGAAATGCATTTGAAATAAGAATCTTAAATTATATATGTATAGAAGAAAATAGTAATAAAACGTATCTTACCCAGTTGTGCTCAGTATTAAAGAGAAACATAAAAAGTTTCAGTTTTACTGAATCAGAATCTCAGAGTGGACAGAGCTGGAGAAATCTGTAATTCAATGAACTCCCAGGGTGAGAAAGATGATGTACTAACTTTGTGAACCAAAGCCCTCGCTCACCCAATGTACTTGAGGAGACACTAGCATAGCCCACAAATTAGATGCAGATATAATCAATATCTTATTTTAAATCTAGCTTTCCAGGATATTATTCCTTAATGCATAACTAACTTAATTTATATAACAATTTCACCCAGTGCTATTATTTAAGCATAGTTTAGGATAAATGAAGGAGTATGCTTATTATTTCTTTTGATAAGAAATTACAGTGGCTATAATTACATTGAAATAAGTAAGATCATATTTTGGAATACTCTTCTGACCTACTTGGGTTTGTTTCTGGATGCACCCAAGTGTTCTAGTGTTCTACCATCTGTTTGAATTATGCGGGTGGGGAGCCTATCAGGCTCCAGTACAGTGCCAAGAGCAGCTGGCTTAGCCCACCCTGGATAGCCATTAGTCACTCCCCACCCAAATTCACACTTGCATCAGGACACCCAGATAATGTGTAATATAAAAATGCTGTGCTGGCTACACAGACACAGCTTCAATTTAAATCAGGTAGCAGGCCAGGTCCAGTGGCTCACACCTGTAATCCCAGCACTTTGGGAGGCAGACGGATCAATGAGGTCAGGAGACGGAGACCAACCTGGCCAACATGGTAAAACCCCATCTCTACTAAAAATACAAACAAAAATTAGGCGGGCATGGTGGTGGGCTCCTGTAATCCCAGATGCCTGGAAGGCTGAAGCTGGAGAATCACTTGAACCTGAAGGCTGAGGTTACAGTGAGTTGAGATCGTGTCATCGCACTCCAGCCTAGGCAACAAGAACAAAACTCCATCTCAATAAGTAAGTAAGTAAGTAAATAAATAAATAAATAGATAAATAAATTCTGTAGCACCCATCTAACCAGGTTGCTGCCTCTACACCTACTTTACTTCTTACCTTATTATTTCCTCTGGTTCTCTATGGAGACCATTGTAAGCTTTTCTCCATTTTTTACAGAATGTTTTCTTGTGCATGGCATACAGAATTGTATCAGTGATAGAGGATTTTTATAGGGGTACATAAGAAATAGCAATACATCTCAATCTCATTCAAATCAAATTCAGTTAAATTCAGTTTAGTTAATATTTATCGAGCCCTTGGTATGTGCTGGGTTCTGGGTTAACTACTGAGGATGTAAAGAAATATGAGAGAAGGTTCTTACCTTCATGGAGCTTTAGCTTAAATTTCTAGGATACAGGTGAGGCATGGATGGGTCATATTTGAATAAAAATAATCCTTAACTGAAAGAGAATATGACATCCTCTGTAATGGTGATTTCTCTCCAGTGCTTTTGCAGAGGAGATATTGATTTTAACCACAAAGCTATATGAAGGAACAAATACAGGAGTGGTTTCAAACCAAAGGCATAAAGTAAAAAAGAGTTATAGGATTAAGAGAATACAAGGTGAGCCTTGGGACTACTCAAGCCTCTGTTCTAGATAGAACATGGCTTATTTATTAATGTGGGTGACAGTGGAATTAAGCTCACAGCATAATGCAAATTCCATTGATCCTCGTTATTCAAGGTTTCTATATTTTCAAATTCACCTAGTCCCTAATATTTATTTGTAACTCCATGACCAACGCCCTTGCAGTGCTTCCACCATGATTTATGAACGTGTTCACCCCCCTCTCCCTCTGCACATCATTCCAATTGGCATGGAACAATGTGGCACTCCACCTTCTTTCAGCTCTCTGCTGTAGACATGTGTCCTTTTCGCAGTCTATTTAATGCCACGTTGTTTTTTCATTTTTGTACTTTTTGTTGGTGTTGTGCTGTTTAGAATGGCTTCCGAGCATTGGTAGTGTTGAGTGCTCTCCAGTGGTCCTCAGCACAAGAGGCTGCAACGTGCCCTATGAAGAAAATATGTGTTAGGTGCTTCATTCAAGCATAGGTGTCATGTTGATAGCCTTGAGTTTAATGGTAATGAACCAATATATAAAAAATAAGGTATCTATACAGGGAAACACACATAAAACAAGGTTATATATTGTCTGGTTGACAAAAATGCTGTCACCAGAGGTTCATAGGAAACGAACCCTGTATTTCTCCTAGGAACAATGGCTCAGTATTCAGTAATTCAGTGTTTGTATTGACTTTTTAAACACATCTACAGTGAAGAGTGAGAATCAACTCTATCTAATGAGAAGCTATGGATTGAGGGCTTTGTTTTCCAAGCAGTGAAGACTGCTGAAGAATTTTTAGCTAAGAGACAAGTTAGGAAAACAGGTGCTCCATTTTTAAAAAAGTGTCTATGTGTCTGACTTATTTCACTTGGCATAATGTCCCCAGCTCCATCCATGTTGTGGCAAAAGGCAGGATTGTCTCCTTTTTTAAGGCTGAATAATATTGCACTACACGCACACACACACACATATATACACCACTGTTTTTTTGTCTATTTTTCCATTGGTTGGCAAACACCTGGGTTGTTTCCATAGCTTAGCTATTGTAAATAATGCTGCAAGGTACATGGGGGTGCAGAGATCTTTACATGGTAGTGATTTCATTTTCTTTGGATATAGACCCAGAAATGGATTGCTGGGTCATAACACAGCTCCATTTTTAATTTCTTTAGGAATTTTTATATTGTATTAGGAATTTTTGTTAAATAAGTAGATATCAGGTGTTCTTATTACACACAAAAAAGCAACTATGTGAGAAGATAGATAGGTTAATCTGCCTCCCTATAGTGATCATTGTACTAGCTCTCTCTCTGTGTATATATGCATATACACAGACATATGTATATGTATATATGTATATGTAGACATACACATATATGTATATATACACAGATATATATTCATACACACATATATGTATATATACAGATATATGTATACACACATATACATACACACATATATGTGTATATACACAGATATATGTATATAGATATGCATATATACACAGGTATATATATATGCATATACATATATACAGGTATATGTATATACCTGTGTATATGCATATATACACATAGATATGTAGCTGCGTATATATACACATATACACAGAGAGAGATAGTAAGAGAGAGATAGTATAGTATAGATAGTAAGAGACAGATAAGAGAGAGATAGTAAGCACTGCAATCCCAACGTTACATCAGGTTGTAAAACTGAAATATACACAGCAAATTATTTTAAAAGAAAGAAAAGTGTGTATTCAAAAAACAGAATATAGAATTACTCTAAAATATAATGGAGGGGAAGGGAAGAAATGATTACACAAAGGAAGAAACAGTAGAAAATGATTGCAGTGAATACAAAGGCAGTCATTATAATAAACACAATAAATGCATATCTGAGACCTGGATATTGACTGTGTCTAGAGATACTCAGAGTTTTCAAGCAGTTAGATGCGATACCAAACACCTTCCCCCCTACAATTGTAATGTCGTGGGACATGATGATTTACAGTTTTGCTCAAAGATTAAATTGTAAAGTGATCTGAATGTATCTACATGTAGAGAATTTGAATTAAGAGACACTGTGGGCCTTTCAGAAAGTTGAAAGGTCACACAATTCTGAAGGATCAGTGGGAATGCAAGAGGAGATAATTGTGAAAAGTGCTGGACCAGGACCATCTCGCAGAGCCAAGCACTTCACTCACACCTGCAAGAGGGTCAAAGAGACCACGAAGATGTTAATGCAAATTCTTTCTTGATGAACTCACATGATATAGTTGGAGGTTGTACAACATACTTGAAGAATAGAATGATGGTTTGTTATTTGGAAATAGAAATCCTGGACCTTTTATTTATTATCTACAAGGTTCAAATGAACAAACAATTCAAACCAAGGCCTCCCTTTGGATTAAGTTTTCCTACTACTTGTGAGATTTGAGTTGGCCTCTCATAATCTACTTGAGTCCAAGCTTTATGGTGTCAGGACCTGTAGTTTTATTTTAGCCCTAATTCCAATAACCGGCTGGCCCATCTTGCTTAATCATTTAACCTTTCTGTACTATATAAGTAAAAGTGATTCTAAAAGCTTACCTACCACTACAAACTATTGTCTGTCCCAAGTGCACTAATTCATATGAAAGTGCTTTGAAAATCTAAATTTAATTTATAAAGTAACTTTCGTAATTATACAGTGACTTGGGGAGCACTGTAGTGACATGTTTTCTTCCCTAGGTGTCACCGATTTTTTCAGCCTGACATCCCCAAAATAGATGTATTTCTGGGGATTTAGTTTTTCTTCTAGAACCCCAGTTAAATTCAAGTATTTCACCTGGAGGAGTGACATATGAGCAGTTCCTATGTGGGGATTCTTGCAACAGAGTGTTTTGTAGGTAGAGGAGGAAAGTATTATTCTTATATGATGAGGCAAAAAAAAAAAAAAAATACTATTGGGAAGGCTTCATGTTTTATAGGCCTTGGCAAGTTCTGAGCAGGAGGGGCTATAAACTCTGAAGTTCAGCACAGGCTCCCTTGAGGAGGGGCCACAGGGTCACAAGGAAGAGGAACAGAGAGGGGCGGGGCTGGGTTAAGTGCTGTCAGCTACAAAACGTTGTCTTTTCTTACTCCAATTGCTGCAATCTGTAAAAGTTACCCCAGACTGATAGATTCAACGTTCAGATGGAATGAGATACACTATATAGTCTAAACATTTGTGCTCCCTGTTAAAATTCATATGTTGATAACTAATTGGCAGTGCGATGGTCATAGGGACTGGGGCCTTTGGGAGGTGATTAGGTCATGAGGGTGGAGCCCTCATGAATGGGATTAGCGACCTTATGACAGAGGCCGCAGGCATACTCTGTGTGAGGACACAGTGAGAAGACAGATGCTTTGAAGCAGGAAGCAGGCCTTCTCCAGACACTGAATCCACCAACACCTAGTTCTTGGACTTCTCAGCCTTCAGAACTGTGAAAAATACATTTCTGTTGTCTGTAAGTCACCCTGCTTGTAATATTCTGTCATAGCAGTCTGAATGGACTAAGACAGGATAACAAAGTTTGTCTATTAGGATATGTTTGGAAGTGAATGGTGAGGTTCTGATGTCTGTAGACCTATTATTATATGCCAAGATAGTAGACATTCTTGGTGAGACCATTTGAAAAAATTTACTAGAAGGAATGAAAAATAATGTGAGAAGTTTTATTTATTTATTTATTTATTTATTTATTTATTTATTTATTTTGAAAGACAGAGTCTCGCTCTGTCGCCCAGGCTGGAGTGTAATGGTGCGGTCTCAGCTCACTGCAAGCTCTGCCTCCCGGGTTCACGCCATTCTCCTGCCTCAGCCTCTGGAGTAGTTAGGACTACAGGCGTCCGCCACCACGCCTGGCTAATTATTTGTGTTTTTAGTAGAGATGGGGTTTCACCTTGTTAGCCAGGATGGTCTTGATCTCCTGACCTCACGATCCGCCCGGCTCGGCCTCCCAAATTTGGTGCTGGGATTACAAGCATAAGCCATCGCGACAGGCTGAGAATTTTTTTAAAAAAGAAACCAAAGCACAAGTATCTGCCATCTAAAATTAACAGCATTAAAAGAACAATGGGAATGAAATGGAAAGGAAAGGATGAACACCAGTCGCACTGCAAGAGAAACACTTTGAAAGGTATTGATTAACTCCTAGAAGGACATGTGTCTTTCCCTTTTCCGAGAAATTCTGCTTTGACTTGAACTTGGAGAACAGGAACACCTGCTAAACAAGCAAAACTTTGTGTGCTATTGCATAAGTAAATAAGAAAATGATAACTTCCAAGAATATTTATTTGGTGCTAGTCAGTCCCAGCAGGGAGTTAGGCAGATTCCATTAACAGAGAGATGAGCTTAAAGGGTTTAAAAAGCTGTATTTCAGTGTGAAGGGTGCTTGTTAGAAACCCATAGAGAGTTAAGCAATTATCCGAGATGATGTTGCGGTGCTTACCGGGTGCGGAGATGTGGTCCGCTGTCTTTGAAAGAGATCAACTAGGAAAAACTGTTCAGTCACTTCTAGAATGGGTGTGCTAAGCTATGATCCTAAATGGATGTTAACTCAGTAAATTTGACAGCCGGGAACATTAAACATCCGTGTATCTGTGTTTGTGTCTAAAGATACAGTAAATTCATTGAAGACAAGAGTCTATGGTATTACCTCGTTTCTGCAAAGAGATGCTATTTGGGGAATTAAGAGGGTGGTTCTTTTCAGCTTGCCTTTGCAACTCAAGCTTGTCCCGTAGTGCTCACATGTTTTTTGTTTGTTTGTTTGTTTGTTTTGTTTTGTTTTTGAGACAGAGCCTCTCTGTGTCGTCCAGGCTGGAGTGCAGTGGCAAGATCTCGGCTCACTGCAAGCTCCGTCTCCCGGGTTCACGCCATTCTCCTGCCTCAGCCTCCCGAGTAGCTGGGACTACAGGCGCCCACCACCACACCCGGCTAATTTTTTGTATTTTTTAGTAGAGACGGGGTTTCACCGTGTGAGCCAGGATGGTCTCGATCTCCTGACCTCATGATCCACCCACCTCGGCCTCCCAAAGTGCTGGGATTACAGGTGTGAGCCACCGCACCCGGCCGGTGCTCACATTTTTAGGTCGGCTGTGGGCACACAAGCAAATAGTCAGAATATGAGTCACAATCATGGTTACATCGCTGATTAGTCACAAAACCTTAGAAAAGCAGCTAACTTACCCATTTTCCTGACTTCATTTATTCAGCAGAAGAAAGTAGAGAGCTGGCTCTTTGATGAGTGTACCCATGGTCCTAACTAACTTGGCATGCTTTCAAACTACACAGGCTATGGTATAAATATTAACACAATCATGTGTAAAGTCGAGCTGAAGAGAAGAAGAATGCATTTTAGTTTAGGTGCACTCTTAATTACTGTAATATCTGCCGTATTTTGCAGAGGCTACTCTAGAGAT